GAGCGCCCGTCTATCCACGGGACTGCTCCCTACTCCACAGAAACTGCGAAGTGGCAAACCCAGCCCCGAGGAACCACGCGCATCCACCGAGGCCAGTCTGTGGATACAGGAAACAGGGCAGCGCTGGCCGGGGGCTGAGAGCGATGGGTGGCGGGTACTGGGAGGTGACAGCCAGGGGTGTGGGGTTCCTTTTGGGGGTAACGAACGTGTTCTCAAATGGGTCGTCATGGGGGTTTCGTAACTCTGTGAATATATTGAATTGTACTCTTGCCATGTACATGTAGGGCATGTGGATTATATCTGAAGAAACTATTGAAATGGTTCTTCCACAAAGTCCCTCTCCTTCACCCTCCTTCAGCTTGGCCCTCACAGCACTGGCCCCCCCTTCTCCCCGAGTCCCTTCAGGTCAGCAAGGTCCCTGTCCCTGTCCCTGGATCCAGGGAATGCTTGGCAGGCCTCGTCCAACCAGCCTCTCCTGCGGCCCTTGCCGGGTCCTTCCGCCTCCCGAGCCTTGCTGGTCGCCCCTTCTCTGTCTCCTCCAGCACCTCCGTTCCTGATCCGAGCCCAGGTGCTTACACCCCATCCTCTTTTCTCCCGGTGTGAGCCCCGGGGTGAGTTCTTTACCCTTGTTCTCTGCCAGCCCTGTGACCCCGCCCCAGACCACACCCTGAGCTCTGAAACTGCACCTGCAAACCTTCCCAACACCACTCGGGCCGGAGCCCCCTCGATCCGACCCTCCTGCCCCAGCTGGCTCCTCTCCCGGCGTTCCCCTCCCCCCACAGCCGAGGACTGCGGGTGTCCATTGGCCTGGCAGAGTCCTGACCTGGACCCTAGCTTCCTTTGTCTTCCTGACCCCCTGTACCCCAAGCTCTGTCAACACCACCCTTTCATAGGATCATGGCAGGACCTGTTTTCTGTCTCTCCACCGCAGACTTGATGAAAGCCCTCATCCTGCCCCAGAATGCGTGGTTATTGGAGACACACAGGCAGGCCCCTCCAGCTGTCCTTCAGGGCTGAGGACTGGCCACGCCCAGCCCAGCAGCTGCACCTCGCTCGCTCTCCGGGGCTCCGTGGGCGGGCTCTCTGCATCAGGGCTCTGCGCTGCCGCTGGGGTTGGCCAACGTCCCCCTGTCCTGCAGGACCTAACTCGGGCTTCCTTTGCTGCACAGCACTTATCAGATGCTAAAGAAATTCTCTGCTGATATGTTCCCCTGGCTCCTAAGGGCCACACACTTGCCTGGGCCTCAGGAGGGTGAGGCCACCGAGCCCAGCCCCGGCCCTTGGTTCCCAGCTTGGCGCACAGGTGGCCCCCACGTGTGTGGGGGACGGAGAAGCTGAGGTTAAACAAAAGGAACCTTCCCCGGCGCTGTGCTCTCTTCAACTTTCCCCCGGAGCTCCTGGGACTTCGGGGCTGCTTCCCACCCTTTTTTATGTTGTGATATTTGACATGTGGCTTATTGGATGCTATGCCTGGAATTTGCAGATGCTCAGAAAATTACACACATGCATCCTGTTTCCTTTGGTTCATTTCGCTAATGTGGGGACTTCCTGGCACACAGATGGGCACAGCTGAGGGCTCCGCCGGCACCAGATCTTCCTACGGACGTGCTGTGGGGATGGATGGACTTGGCCCTGACCCCACAGACGGGGCGGCTGTCGCCTGGGCACTGTCGCGTCGGAATACAGCATCTCACACCGCTTTGCACAGTCCAGCTTGTCGGAAAGAGCTGGCTACAGCGGGGTTCCCTTTCTGGTTATCTAGACCTGGGGTTCGCTTTCTCTCCAGCGTAAAACAACTGGCGTGGAAGAATGCGATCCGAAGACGCCAGTGTTTCTTTGTGACAACTAAGTCACGTCTCGGCATGTTCCCCTAGCCCTTGGCCCGTTTACATCTCGGCCAAATTGAGATTTGAATAGAAACTGGATTTTGAAGAGTCGTTGAAATGTGTCGGAACAGTGGACGGGATGGGTCTGTGGTTGGCAACATGACGGCCCCCAGGGACGCCTGTGTCCTCATCCTTGGCGTTTGTGAAACTCTCAGGCTGCATGTCAAAGGGAAGTTCGGGTTGAAGATGGAACGGAGGTTGTACGATGGGTTGAATTGCGTCCTCCCTAAAAGATGGTGAAGGCCGGCCCTGGCCGGTTTGGCTCGGCGGTTAGAGCGTCAGCCCTCGGACCAAAGAGTCGCGGGTTCGATTCCGGTCAAGGGCGCGGACCTTGGTTGCATGGGTCCCTGGCCCTGGCCAGTGTCCTGCAGGAGGCAGCCAATCGATGCGTCCCTCTCACGTCGATGTTTCTCTCTCTCACTCTCTCTCCCTCCCTCCCACCCTATCTGAAGATAAATAGAAAAATATCCTCAGGTGAGGATTAAAAAATATAATAATAATAATAAAACACGTCAAAGGCCTGAGCCTCAGCATCTCAGAGTGTGACCTTGTTTGGAAACGGGGTCAATGCAGAGGTCATTCGTTAAGATGAGGTCATACAGAAGCCCCCCATCCACTCTGACGAGTGTCCTTATAAGATGGTCTCGTGAAGACAGAGACAGAGATCGGAGCAACGTACCTACAAGCCAGGGAACCCCAGAGACTGCCGGCTGTCACCAGGACCAGGGAGGGAGGCGCGGAAGAGACTCAGAGCCCTCAGAAGAAACCACCCCTGTGACACTTTGACCTCTGTGAGCGGACACTCCCTGTGGTTTTCAGACACCCAGGTCGTGGTACTTTTCCGGCAGCCGGAGCAAACTCACGCGGGTTTCCAACCATCTGGCCTTACCCGAGAGGCTCTCCTGGGCTTACCTGATGGTGCAGCGGAGTCACAAGCGTGATTTTGTGGGAGAAGGACTCGCCGACGTGGCTGGCTCTGCAGAGGGGTGGACGGCCCACCAGCCGGTGAGTCGGGCAGCGTCTTGAAGCTGGAGAAGGCAAGAGGACGCAGCTTCCGGAGGGTTCGGAAGAGCCCCCCCTGCCAACACCTTGCTTTCAGCCTGGTGAGACCCGTGTCAGCTTTGCCACCTCCGAAGTGGAAGATCAGTATCGTTTTGAGCTACTCCGAGCTGATGGCAGTTCTCCACGACAGCAGTGAAGAAGAACACAGGGCCCTGGCCGGGTGTCTCCGTTGGCTGGAGCACCATCCCGAACACCCAAAGGTTGCAGGTTCGAGTCCTGGTCAGAGCACATACCCGAGTTGCAGGTTTGATCCCCAGTTGGGACGCATACAGGAGGCAACTCCACGTTCTTCTCGCATATTGATGTTTCTCTCTTTCTCTCTCCCTCCCTCTTCCTCTGTCTCTACAAATCCACTAAAAAAGTATCCTCAGGTGATGATTTGAAAGAAAGAGAATACAGGTCTCTGGTCAAGACCGAGCCGCTGGAAGTACCTGGTCACAATGACTGAACTTAACGTAGGCACAGAGGAGCTGGGTCTGTATGGACAGACCCGAGGCCTCCCGACTCCAGAGGGAGGGGGATGGGCGTCCCGAACCCAAGGTGTTAATGGTGGCTTCCTGGAGAAGTACAGTTTTACTGCTTTTAGGAAGAGCTGCTAAATCAAACTTGGCTAATAAATGTTGCTCTTAAGGTTTTTAAGGGACACGAGTAAAGAGAAAAATCAGGCTTAAGTTATAATTGCAATAGACTTTTTTTTTCTTAATAATGGGACTGTAGTTTTCTTCCCAGTTCCTGGGCGTGCAGTAAACGGCACTGTGCTCTGACGTCCAGTTGCACCAGGTCCCGTAGGTGCCCCTGTGTCCTTCCAGCCCTCACCTTCGCCGGGTAGCAAGCCTCGAACCCTGGAGACCTGGCTGTTCTGGGTGCTCCTTCTATCAGGTTGTGTTCCACTTCTGTGGGTCGTTGCTTTCCTGCCCGCCGCTGTTGGAAGGGTGCGATTCAGGGGGCGGGGCTTGTTTTGGCCACTGCCCCGTCGTCAGAACCTAGAATATTCCGAGCAGGGGTGGGAAGGAGCTATTCAGCTGGAAGTGGAGAGAGGGGGAGGTGGGCGCCGTCCGTGTCCACTCAGAGGGCCCTGCCTGCGAGAACGCAGACATTTCTGAACAGTGGGTGATCCGCTGTGGCTGCTGTTGGAACTCGGCTCTGTCCCGAAGAAGGAGGACAGACGGAATGGTCATCATAGCGGGCCGTCCGAGCGGAGCCCGTCTGCCGGGTGCTGAGCCCTGCGGAGCGAGGCGTATTTGAGGTTCGTGCAGGGACCGGAGTAGGAGGGACTTGCCTAGTGTCCCCAGAAGGGCATCCAAAGCTTCATTTGTGTCCTGCGGAATCCTGAGTCCCAAACTTCTCAGATTCTTTCCAACGCCTGGAGACCCACAGGGACTCAGAGAGTGGGGTCACTGGAACATTGGGCAGGTGGGTGACGTTTTAGGGAACACTTTTAAACTGGCCGCCTTCGGTAGCTGAGTCCTCAGGAGTGACAGCCCCCACTCAGGAGGGCCTCCCACTCTCTAGAATGCTGGGACCCCCTGGCCCTGGGTGTCCTTTGTCAAGGGCTGTAGCAGTCAGCTTTGGTGCGGTGACAAACAGCCCCGTGACCGCTGAGGTGGTGTTACAGTGCTCACTGTTGGAGCATCCCCTGCACGGGACCTGCTGTTTGTACAGCAGAGGCAGGACACCAGGGATGGCCAGGCCACACAGTCACACTCAGAGCTTCTGCTGGGACACGGCCAGCGTCCCGCCCACTCGCTCCCTATGGAGCCACGTGGGCGATGCAGTCCCACGACAAGGGGAGTGACCCGTTGGGGACCACAACTCAGTCTGCTGTGGGAGTGTTGTGCGCAGAAAGGTGTCCGTGCCGAGAAGCCCACTGAGCACTCAGCCCTCCTGCCCCCTCTGAGCCACGGGGATTATTTCCACCGTCTGCTGTAAAGTTCCCTGCGTCCGTCTTCCTCCCTCGTTCCACAGGCCCAGGTCCCAGGGTCTGTGCGGAGGGCCCTCTGGGGGAGCTGGCTTCTCCCCCGCTTGTCTGACTGTCTTCCCTCCTCCGGGCAGGTGGGTGGCAGGCCCGTGGAGCCCCTGCTCGGCGACCTGTGAGAAGGGCATCCAGCACCGGGAGGTGACCTGCGTGTACCAGCTGCAGAACGGCACACACGTCACCACGCGGCCCCTCTACTGCCAGGGCCCCCGGCCGGCACCGGTGCAGAGCTGTGAAGGCCAGGACTGTCTGTCTATCTGGGAGGCGTCCGAGTGGTCGCAGGTGGGTGCCGGGGCCTCTGGCCCTTGTCCGCGGGGACCCCAACATGGTCCCTTCCCCGCATCGTGTTTGTGACACGTCTTTGTACATCACGGTCCTCGCCAGCGCCCCGGATGAGCTCAGCGCTGCATTCTAGCGCACTTACTCGTAAACTCCATCCAAGATCACGGCGTGGCTAAAAAAAACATGCGTCGTGTGTTATTGCTAATGGAGAGGTTTTCGATAGTAAGTACCCCAGTCCATTTATTTTCTTATTTATTATTTTTTTGTCCTCACCCGAGAGGATATTTTTCCATTTTTAGTTCAGATAGAGTAGAAGGGAGAGAGAGAGAGAGAGAGAAACATCAACGTGAAAGGGACACATCGAGTGGCTGCCACCCGCATGACCATCCAGGGCTGGGGACAAACTGCAACCGAGGTACATGCGGGAACTGAACCCGGGTCTCTCTGGACCGCAGGCCGACGCTCTAACTGCTGAGCCAAACCGGCCAGGGCTATTTATTTATTTATTAATCTTCACCTGAAGATAGTTTTCCATTGATTTTTTTTTTTCTTTTATTCCTCACTCAAGGATTTTTTCCCATTCATCATCAGATAGAGTGGTAAGGAGAGAGAGAGTGAGAGATGGAGAGAAACATCGATGTGATAGAGCCACATTGACTGGTTGCCTCCTGCACGACCCGACCAGGGCCGGGGACGAACCACAACCGAGGTCCGTGCCCTAGATCAGACAACTCACTGGTCCACGGGCCGATGCTATAACCGCTGAGCCAAACTGGCCAGGGCAGTTTTCCATTGATTTGTACAGAGAGTGGAAGGGAGGGTTGGGGAGGAAGAGAGAGACCCGTCGATTGGTTGCCTTCCACATGACCCTGACCCGGGCCGGGGATCGAACCTACAGCCCTTTAGTCTGTGGGCCGACACTCTAACTGCTGAGCCAAACCAGCCGGGGCCACACCACAGTCCTTTTAGATCCCATTTCCTATGAGAATGCTCATGTGAGTCTAGATGGGTGGGTAGATGGAGAGAGAGAGACAGAGAGAGATCGGACTGCCCTCCCTGTCCTTGGGGACACTTGGACTGTAGCGTGATGAGATGGGAAGGTGGCTTCGCACGCCCTCGCTCCACTGAGACAGCTTTGTGGGCGGCGAGAGGCGGGCAGATGCCGGACAGAGAGCTGTCGCTGTGCTGGTCCAGGTTCTGAATCTCATGCCATAAGCGCTCTGGAAAGAGGTCAGGGAAGCCTGAAGTTTTTAATTTCGAGGACGGATCATGCAGACGTCATTTTATCTTCGGTAATCGCGTCCTCCGAGGCTTTGCGTTGACTCTGCAGTAATGATTTTGATTGTTTGGCTGTAAAACAGAAAAATAGCTGCATTAAGGGCCAGCTTCCCCCAGGCCCTCCATCAGATGTGCCCTAGGAAAGTCAGGAAGGCTATAGATCCAAGACACTGTTCAGTGCGGAAAATATTTTTAAAGTTCCTGTTCATTGCCAAACAGTTGGAATTATTTTGAATAAGAGAGTGTTCAGCCCATTCTTAATGAATGAAAAGTCTGCCCTTGGTCCTTCTAACACTGTTTATTTTTCAGGCGGATCTTGACATGCATCCATTTAAAGACCCGTGTGTTTTACCTTCCCGTTATGATATTTTAAGAAAAGAAGAGAGTTAACCTTTTTGTTTTTTGTGTTTTTTTTAAATAGGCTTAAGTTTGTAGGTTTAACATTCAAGGCACTGCCCTGGCCGATTTGGCTCAGCAGTTAGAGCGTCGGCCCCCAGAGCAGAGTTCCGGGTTCGATTCCAGTCAAGGGCACGTACCTCAGTTGTGGTTCATCCCTGGCCCTGGTCCGGTCGTGTGGGAGGCAGCCAATCAAAGTGTCTTTCTCATATCGATGTTTCTCTCTCTCTCTCTCTCTCTCCCTCTTTTTCACTCTATCTAAAGATAAATGGAAAAAATATCCTCAGGTGAGGATTAAAAAAAGAAAAAACATTGAAGGTACCTTTTGGGGGGAGGGGCATACTTGTTGGAGGGGTGGGGGCAGCCTACAGTCTCTCTCCCCTCCCCCACCTCCCATGAGCCTTCAGGCCTTAATCACCTGGCTTTTGATCAAACAAGATTTATGCTTTAATCAGATCAAAACCATAAATTTTCCATTCAGATTTTTTCTTAAGGGGGAAAAAAAAATGCCTCTTTACCAAAATAACCAATCCTGACATTATCAACTATCAGCATGAGATGAAAGAGTCCCATGGGGAGAACACGAACCCATCGGACAAGATTGATGGACACCCCTGTGTCTCTGTGTGTGTGTGTGCGGCTCCGCACGCCTGAGCCTCCTGACGTCGTGTCCGCCCCGGTCAGTCTCGCCCACGCGCCACCCAGTCCAGCGCGGAATGCTTCGTTCCAAACACTGACCTTGGAATCTTGTGTCCCCCACGACATGCTCAAAAATGCAGTTGTGCCCCTGTGCCCGGTGCTGCGCCCTTCAACTGGAGACACTTGGGCTCACATTTCTCGTGGGAGAACGAGGCACCCATGTCGAGGGGGAAGAGAAAGGCAGTGACTGTCCCCTGTCCTCGGCTCCCAGGCCCCATCCCTGGATCCAATGCCAAGAGGGAAACTGAACGTCGTCTTCCAGGTCCCTCCAAAGGCCCGTGGGCTGCTGGGCAAAGGGCTGTGCCAGGGATCCGCCAAGAAACAGGCTAAGCAGGCGGTGTTTGATGTTCACGAGAAGGGACAGAGCGTGGAGTGGAGTCAGGCAGCGGAAAGTCAGGAGAAGTGGGGAGCAAGCTCCTAGTTCAAGGAAGAGCAGAGGTGTGAGCCCCAGTGCCATGGAGGGGCCCAGGGGTCACACCGACAAGAAGCCCAGGAGGTGTTGAGGACAGAAACACGGGCCCCTCGTCCCTGCCTCCTGAGCACGGGTCTGGCGCGTGGTGGGGCCCTCGGGGTGGTGAGGGACTCGAGTGAACCGGCCCAGGTCCAGTGTCCGAGTGGTGTTTTGCAGTGTTCTGCCAGCTGCGGTAAAGGGACGCAGAAGCGGACGGTGACCTGCACCAACTCCCAGGGGAAGTGCGACGCGTCCACCAGGCCCAAAGCCGAGGAGGTGTGCGAGGACTACTCCGGCTGCTACGCGTGGAGGACCGGGGACTGGTCCAAGGTGAGCCGGGTAGTTCCACTGCGCGGCCGCGGGGCAGGGCCTCGGCTGTCCCCCGGCTTCGTTCGAGGAGGTGGTCTCTGTGCCGGCAAACTCACTTCCTTCCCAAGCTCCGCACCTGCCAGTGGGCCACGCGGCGCGAAAGGGACTGAATGTCCCCCACAGTGCCAAGCGGGGTCCTCGGATGGCAGTGGGCCACGCGGCGCGAAAGGGACTGAATGTCCCCCACAGTGCCAAGCGGGGTCCTCGGGTGCCAGTGGGCCACGTGGCGCGAAAGGGACTGAATGTCCCCCACAGTGCCAAGCGGGGTCCTCGGATGGCAGTGGGCCACGCGGCGCGAAAGGGACTGAATGTCCCCCACAGTGCCAAGCGGGGTCCTCGGATGACAGTGGGCCACGCGGCACGAAAGGGTCTGAATGTCCCCCACAGTGCCAAGCGGGGTCCTCGGATGGCAGTGGGCCACATGGCACGAAAGGGACTGAATGTCCCCCACAGTGCCAAGCGGGGTCCTCGGATGGCAGTGGGCCACATGGCGCGAAAGGGACTGAATGTCCCCCACAGTGCCAAGCGGGGTCCTCGGATGACAGTGGGCCACGCGGCGCGAAAGGGACTGAATGTCCCCCACAGTGCCAAGCGGGGTCCTCGGATGGCAGTGGGCCACGAGGCGCGAAAGGGACTGAATGTCCCCCACAGTGCCAAGCGGGGTCCTCGGATGGCAGTGGGCCACGCGGCGCGAAAGGGACTGAATGTCCCCCACAGTGCCAAGCGGGGTCCTCGGATGACAGTGGGCCACGCGGCGCGAAAGGGACTGAATGTCCCCCACAGTGCCAAGCGGGGTCCTCGGATGACAGTGGGCCACGCGGCGCGAAAGGGACTGAATGTCCCCCACAGTGCCAAGCGGGGTCCTCGGATGACAGTGGGCCACGCGGCGCGAAAGGGACTGAATGTCCCCCACAGTGCCAAGCGGGGTCCTCGGATGACAGTGGGCCACGCGGCGCGAAAGGGACTGAATGTCCCCCACAGTGCCAAGCGGGGTCCTCGGAAGACAGTGGGCCACGCGGCGCGAAAGGGACTGAATGTCCCCCACAGTGCCAAGCGGGGTCCTCGGATGGCAGTGGGCCACGCGGCGCGAAAGGGACTGAATGTCCCCCACAGTGCCAAGCGGGGTCCTCGGATGGCAGTGGGCCACGCGGCGCGAAAGGGACTGAATGTCCCCCACAGTGCCAAGCGGGGTCCTCGGATGGCAGTGGGCCACGCGGCGCGAAAGGGACTGAATGTCCCCCACAGTGCCAAGCGGGGTCCTCGGATGGCAGTGGGCCACGCGGCGCGAAAGGGTCTGAATGTCCCCCACAGTGCCAAGCGGGGTCCTCGGATGGCAGTGGGCCACGCGGCGCGAAAGGGACTGAATGTCCCCCACAGTGCCAAGCGGGGTCCTCGGATGGCAGTGGGCCACGCGGCGCGAAAGGGACTGAATGTCCCCCACAGTGCCAAGCGGGGTCCTCGGATGGCAGTGGGCCACGCGGCGCGAAAGGGACTGAATGTCCCCCACAGTGCCAAGCGGGGTCCTCGGATGCCAGTGGGCCACGCGGCGCAAAAGGGACTGAATGTCCCCCACAGTGCCAAGCGGGGTCCTCGGATGCCAGTGGGCCACGCGGCGCGAAAGGGACTGAATGACCCCCACAGTGCCAAGCGGGGTCCTCGGATGGCAGTGGGCCACGTGGTGCGAAAGGGACTGAATGACCCCCACAGTGCCACGCGGGGTTCTCGGATGCCAGTGGACCACGTGGCGCGAAAGGGACTGAATGTCCCCCACAGTGCCACGCGGGGTCCTCGGATGCCAGCCTGCCGTCCCTGGAGCATGCTGGCTGTGCCCTGTACCCTGCAGGGCTTTGGCCACCCACTTGTCACAAGAGCCTCCCAAACAGGTGGGAGCCTTGGCCGAGACACCCCGGGGCTGGCAGGCCAACGGCGCTCCCGTTGTTGCCGGGACCTGGGTGTGGGCACAGGTGAGGGCACAGAGTGTGGGCACAGGGTGTGGGCACAGGTGAGGGCACAGGGGCGGGAGGAGGCAGAGCACCTGCCAGGGCCGGTCCTTGCTCCTGGGGTCAGGATCGGGCGCCGAAACGCTGCTTCGCCTGTCTGCCGTTCACCCGATGTTGGCGGGTGCTGTTGACCGGGAGCTGCGGTCAGGACTGTCGTCGCACGTGAGACCCCAACAAGCAGTCCCTCTAGAGAGCCTTTTCCCCCACACTATAAAATGTCAGATGAGATTTCTGAGGTCCGTCTTTCTAATGACAGTGTCCGAGGACCACCGTTTCCCGTTGTATTTTCCCTTGGCCTCGGCAACCAAGAACGCCCCTGTCGCTTCTCCTGGTGTCTCCGCACACGGGGCCTGAGAGTCGCCGGCTGTGTGGTCGGGGCTAGTGGCTGACGTTGGAAAATGGGGAGTTTCACCTGCAGGTCTGGCTTCTCTGTGGACAGCTGCCTTTTGTCCATGTGTGGCCGCTGCGACCCAGCTTGAGAGAGGTCACCAGTGTGTCCCCGAGGCCCAGGGAGATGGCGGCGAGCTGTCACTGGCTGAGAGTCTGATCAGAGAACGTTCTCAAACGTTCTGCGGCAGCGTTGTCGTCGGGTCCATGCCGACAGGCCTCTGAGGACGTGGAGGGAGCTGTCCGGCACGGTGACAGGGACAATGGCCCTGTCTGGGCCGCGGACATGCAGGTGGAGTGGGGACAGTGGAGGTCACACGCTCAGTGCAGCCTGTGGCATTGAGGGGCAGCCCGTGGGCACGGGTGGGGCAGGAAGCAGAGGGGAGGCCCGGGCGGCCCGGTCTGGCAGCCCCCGGCACCGTCTCCCGTGCGCTGTGTCCGGCCCCTCCCGGCACCAGGCTCCCCGCCCAGCGCTATCCTGTGAGGGGGGCTTCCCGGGCTGAGGGTTTCGAAACAGTGAGAGCGGCCCCTGCGGTCTCCTGTGCTCCCGGCTCTGGCTTGCCCCCCAGAATCCAGGGCTCTTGGGGTGACCATCTCGTCATCGGGGTCACCTCGGCTTTCTGGTCCCCCGGCTTCAGTGTCCCAACCAGAGTCTGCAGTCAGCAGGCTGCAGTCAGAGAGACAGGGGCCCGAAGCCAAGGCTGAGGACAGGAGGGAACAGCAGCTCGAAAGGGAGGGTGTGTGTGTGTGTGTGTGTGTGGTGTGTGCGTGTGTAGTGTATGAGAGTATGGTGGTATATGTGTGGGTGTGTATGGTATGTGTATGGGGGTGTGTGTATGGTGGTATGTGTATGGGGTGTGGGGGTGTGTGTGGTAGTATGTGTATGGGGTGTGGGGGGGTGTGGGTGTGGGTGTAGGGGTGTGGGTGTGTGGGGGGTATGTGTATGGGGTGTGGGGTGGGGGGTGTGGGTGTGTGTGGGGTGTGGTAGTGTGGTGGTATGTGTGTGTGTGTGTGTGTAGGTGGTGGTATGTGTGGGGGTGTGGGGGTGTGTGGGGGGGTATGGGTGTGGGGGTGTGTGTAGGGGGTGGGTGTGGGGGGTATGGGTGTGTGTGGGTGTGTGTGTGGGGAGTGTGGGGTGTGTGTGTGTGTGGTGGTATATGTGTGGGGACTGTGGGGTGTGTGGGTGTGTGTGGGGGTATGTGTGTGGGTGTGTGTGTGGTGGTATATGTGTGGGTGTGGTGGTGTGGGGGTGTGGGGGTGTGGTGGTATGTGTGTGGGGGTGTGGGTGTGGGGTGTGTGTATAGGGGTGTGGGTGTGTGGGGGGGTATGTGTATGGGGTGTGGGGTGGGGAGGTGTGGGTGTGTGTGGGTGTGTATGTGTGTAGGGGTGTGTGTGGTGGGGGGTATGTGTATGGGGTATGGGTGTGGGCGGGGCTGTGTGTGTGGTGGTATGTGTGTGGGGGGGGTGTAGGTGGGGGGGTATGGGTGTGTGTGTGGGGGGTGTGGTGGTAGGTGTGGGGTGTGTGTGTGTGTGGTGGTATGTGTGTGGGGGTGGGGGTGTGTTGGGGGTATGGGTGTGGGGGGGTATGGGTATGTGTGTGTGTGTGTGTGTGTGTGTGGTGTGGGGGGGTGTGGGGGGTATGCGTGTGGGGGTGTGGGGGTGTGGGTGGGGGTGTGTGTGTAGGGGTGTGGGGGTGTGTGGTGGTATGTGTTTGGGGGTGTGGGGGTGTGTGGGGGTGTGTGTGTAGGGGTGTGGGGGTGTGTGTGGGGTATGGGTGTGTGTGTGTGTGTGTGTGGTGGTATGTGTGTGGGGTGTGGGTGTGTGGGGGGGTATGTGTGTGGAGTGTGGGGGTGGGTGTGTGGTGGTATTTGTGTGGGGGTGTGGGGGTGGGGGTGGGGGTGTGTGTGTAGGGGTGTGGGGGTGTGGGGGTGGGGGTGGGGGTGTGTGTGTGGGGGTGTGGGGGGGTGTGGTGGTATGTGTTTGGGGGTGGGGGTGTGTGTGTGTAGGGGTGTGGGGGTGTGTGGGGGTATGTGTGTGGGGGTGTGTGTGGGGTATGGGTGTGTGTGTGTGTGGTGGTATGTGTGTGGGGTGTGGGGGTGGGTGTGTGGTGGTATGTGTGTGGGGGTGTGGGGGGGTGAGTGTGGGGTGTCTAAGATAGCATCTCCAGTTTGGAGGCTGGAGCAGACAGTGGGGATTTTCATTATTGCTTAAATATGCTACTTCAGGTCCCAACAGCTTCCGAGGTTTGCGGTGCTCATGCCAAGTTGGGGGTAAATCTGTCAAAAATGCTTTAGACATTTCACGAGTCAAGTCCCTTTCAGGCACAAACAGAAAGTGGCGTTCCTCTAGGTGTTTTCTCTTTCCCCATCTCCCTCCCTCCCTCTCGTTCTTTGTTACCCAGACCTGCCCCGGGCAGGCTGGCCCCTCAGAGCAGGGGCTGAGGGTCCCTGCTCCCCCCAGCCCTGCACGGCCCCACCTGGCCCCGCTCTGGAACAACCAGAGCTCACGCACACGTGTAACATTCCTGTAGCATTTTCCTCTTCCTGAGACTTTTACAACCTCCTTGAGCTAATT